AGCGCAACAGTCACAGTCGCTTTTTTGTCTATATATGTCTCCACGAAGATTGGCACACCATTTTGGACCACCGCACACCATTTTGGATCATATTTGAGACCTCCACGGCCGCGCTAAACGAGAGGCTCAAAGGGGGCCCCAGACCGCTGCGCTAAACGCGCAGCTATTCCCAGCTTCCAGCTCCGTAACACCGTTGGCAAATTTCCACAGGCAGCAGCCGGCACGCGAAGTTGTTGCCTCTGTTCGCCTACACAGAATGTCAATTCTTAGCTGCCGCTCGTCGCGTGTACGCGCAGCCATCGAACCGTGACGACGACCTGCACTCACGCTCACGGCGCCTCGGCGACCGCCTCCGACGAAATGTCGCTCGTCGACGGGGCGGCGTTGCACTGGGCCGCAAGTCCCGGCACAACCTCGTCCATGTACCTACCATCGGGAGCAGCCCATGCGTCTCTTGCTGCGCGGTAAACGTCTCCCCGCAACCCGACTCGTACCTTTCGATGAGCTGCTGCAGCCGCTCGCGCATCATCGCATCGAGCTGGTACGTGCGAGCAAAGCTGCGCGCGAGCTGCCGCGGGTCGTCGTCCTCGTGAAGGCCAATGCGGCCAGTCTTGCCTAGAGGACGTAGAAGGAGGCGTGACGCTTGGCCTTGTTGCGAACGGTGGCTGGGACGAGCGCCGTACCAGGGCCAAGGTTGACGTCCATGTAGAGGAGTGGCACCTACGAGGGCAGAGGGCATTGTCGCTCCCGAGGTGCGGACCAGTGGGGACCAGAAGATTCGGCCGCAACCTTGCGCTCGGCTCGCTTCTCCGTCGCAAACGTGAAGGGCTTGGGCTCGGTGGTGCCGGTGGCGGCGGCCGCGGTCTTCTTTGCCGCCGCCTCCTCCACCTCGCGCCTCTCGCGCGCCTCGGTAGCCGGTGGGCCGATCCCTTGCTGAAAGAATTTTACAACAAAGCTCCCTCGCACAACACTGGGCACGGGACTGGCTCGCACTGAGTGTGCTGAAAGAAAGAAAACAGACAACCCAAGGGAGGGATGGGAGGACGGCACGCCGCCACCACACAGGGATTTTAAGGAGAGGTGTGTGATGCGCTAGCCGTCGCCCACCCTAGGGAGTCTGCCTCTTCCTATCTCTCTTCGCAGTCTCTCGCCGCTTCTCGCTGCAACCTTCATGCCACCTCGCGGTCGTCCCACTCTCGTCGTTCTCTCCCTTGTCACTTCCTCCTCTGTCGCGTCGTTCTCTTCTGCCTCGTCCTGCGACGCCGCCGCCTGCCGGTCCCTTGTTCTCGCGGCTTCTTTCGCCTTTCGGCGCAACTCCGTCCTCCTCGCGGCGTATCCTGGCCCCTCGAGTCTATCGAGCTCCCCTCGCGCAAGGACCACATTTCTGACTCCCACTCCGATCATTTGCCTCCAAGTCATGTCGTTGCTCAGGTCCACTCTCTCTTCGAACACTTGTGCCTCTACGGATGATGCCGGCGCTGGGGTCCCCTTCGGATGCATCGTGACATCTGACAACTGGATTTCCACTGGTTCGTCCTCCTCGGAGTCATCTTCCCCGGCTTCCTTCCGCTCGGCTCTTCGCTCGGTACGTCCGGTGTGGCTCACCCTCCATGCCGTGAACAGGCGCTTTATCCACCCTATATTCTTCTCTCGTTCCTCTGCCCGTGCCTTGGTCTTGTCGTTGTTTCGCACCCATGTCTGTATGGCAATCGAGGCTGCCTTCCCCACTACCTGTAGTTCACTCGTCACCTCTCCCGCGAGCGCCCCTCTCTTTCTTTCCTAGTCCAATGAATTCTTTTGCTGTACTTGCGTTTT